ACGTTGTGTTTGAGATTTCAAATTAATCATGAAGGCCGCGATTACATATTCGTTTTATGGGTTTCAACAGAATAATTAGGAATATCCACAATTCATTAAATGCTAAACATATTTTTCATTTTTATTACACTTTTTGTAACTAATTAAATAATGTAAATAATTAGGGCCCAAATTAAATTTAGGTATATAATTATAGCGATTTAATGGACATTATTAATATAAACTGTGTATCAACAATGTGAATGCCGTTAATGAAAATAAAAATATATTTGTTTCAATATGCCTGTTTATAATGTAAATAATTATTTTTAATTTCAGTCATGATTTTTATATTAAAATTAATTCGACTGTGAGCATTTGAACGTGATAGATCAGAAAATGTTTTTCTAAAATAAAATTTCAGTGATAAAAATAATTTTTATCCGCAAAACCTTTTTTAGTTTTGTAAATAAATATTTTTTCATACCAAAGAAAAAAAGTAATTTAAATTTAGATCTTTAACAAACTTTTTCATACAACACATACATTAAATTATAATTAAAATACAATTTCTTGTATTAAAATTTAATTTAATTTATATAAAACTTTTGATTATCTTGAATTTTTACGTAACAATGAACTTATAGCTGTAAACAGAATTCGAGGGCTAATTAAATCTAAACTAATACTTTTCAATTTTTTAAAAATGTATAGATATAATTAAGGTCTTATTTCGACAAAAAACTTTCAATAAAATTTGGTACAACATGATAATTTTAATATCAAAATATTATTTCTTATTATTTTATTTATTTTAATTTTTTAGTTACTTATTTTTATTAATGATTTGCTTTCTATTTTTGGTAATGACACTGAGATTTTAATATATGCTGATTATAAAAATATATGTAGTAAAGTCCACTCTTTTATTGTGATTGTAAATTTGTATAGACTAATTGAAATAAATATATTGAATGGAGTACGCTCGATTTTCTTCCTTTTTACTTTGATGAATGTCACATTATATCTTTTGTTCATAATAATACTTAAATAATTTATAATTATCATATTTCAAAAAGAGTGTCCCTTCAGTATTCAGACTTAGGTAATCATTTTAGTTTCAATTTGATATTTACTTTTTATGTTAATTTTACTATTCATAAAGGTTTAAAAATGCTTGGTTTTATAAATAGATACATAGTACAATTTAAGAATAAAAATTGCATAAAATATGTATATTGCTCTTCGGTTTGTTCTCACTTAGAGTTTGGTTCTTCTATTTGGTTTCCTAAGTACACAATCTATAATTCGAAACTTGAGAATGTTAAACATACATTTTTAAAAATATTCGTTTTTAAGATGAAACTATCAATTTCCAAGGGATTTTTTTACATTAGTGGCGGACTCAATTGACCTTGATACATGTGAAATCAAGTGTAAATTAGCAGATATTATGTTCATTTACGACCTTATAAATTGTAATATTGATTGCCCTGAACTACTATTCTTGGTTTGATTTCTTACCTGAGTTCATTTTACTAGATCTCAATCTTTATTTTATGTCCCTAATTTTAAAACTAATTTAGTAGCTGGATCCTTTTTCCCTAACACAAGCCAATACAGTTTTGTATGTATTATGATTTTTTTGATACCTCTTGTAATCGTTTTAGAAATAATATTTTGTCAACCCTTGATCGACTTACAATTCTTAATTTTCGTGTTTATTTAATTTTTTTTCGTTTTTTATGTAAAGCTTATTTATTATGGATTATTTTTAATGGATATTATTTACTAATAGTCATATTATTTGGTGATTTGTATATCTTTTTCTTTTTTTTTTTGTAATGTTAATTGTTGTCATGAATAATGTTTATAAAAAGGGCGAGTGCCTACTTATGTTGTATAAATAAATAAATCAATTAACATGTATTAGCCACTCGATAAATAATTGTTATGTTAAAATATTATTGTATGGTATTTTTTAGTTTAATATTTAACTTACATTATTAATAAAGTTATTAATTGCATTAATTCATTCCTTTACCAAGTTGACAAGGAGTCAACTTAAATTTGTAAATGGCTACATTTCTATTAAATATCTATGAAGTAATAAAAAAAAGCTAGTAATAAAAAATAGTTAGCTAAATTATAAAATAAAAAATGATCTTATAATGTAAATGACTGATCGAAATAACTTACCCATTTTTGCTGAAGTTATTACTATTTTAAAATATAGACAATAGATGAGATACGAGTTATTTATATCATTATGCATTGCTCTGCCGCGTTCATCCTTCACTAAATATTTTAAAACAGTAATAACATCCTAAATGATGGTTTAATGTTGTTATTGATCCGTCATTTTCTTAATAAGATCATTTTCAATTTTTAAGCTAGTTAAATATGTATGTAGCCATTTAATAAATTAAGTTGAAACCCTTATAAGGTAAAATGGGTGAATTAAAATAGTAATTATTATATTACATAATTCAATAAATACCATTTTAAGAGAAATGAAATGGTTAATGTTTTAACAGAATCGCTATATAAATCAATATACTATAAATCCATAATTTAAAATTTTTCTTCAAAATAAATTCATTTAATAACACTGGAGAGTTGTTTATATTGCACATTTAATAAAAATATTAGTATTTTGTTTACAAAATACTAATATAAAATATAAATCTTGTATAATTTTTTTTATACCACTGGACCATTTTTCAAGAGGTTAATTGTCCGTTTTATATAATTATATAAAATGGACAATTAACCTCTAATTATAATTAGAGTTAATTAAATCTTAAATTTATTTTCTTGAATCTTCTACTTTTTTATAATTATAAACTATTTAAAACTCATTTGAGTGTGTGGATGACTGAATTGTATTTTACAATAGTAGGCTACTAGAGAAAATGATGTTTTTGCCAAAAATTTACTAAAAAAAATTTATTTATCTTTCGAATCATATTTCGTAAATATCGGCTTCATAAAATATGGAACTGCAACAAAAACTGAATTGTAAAAAGAGGTAAAGTGCCAACCTTCCTTTCAAAAAAGTTTGCCTATTAAAATAGAGGTCTTCTTATTTATATCAGCAACATTGCTCCTTCTTTCTTATTGCTTAACACTTGTTCATTTTTTGAATAAGGCATAAAATATATTTTGCCACAATTTCCATTGAAACCCGTTAAGAGATTTGAATCTTTTTTTTTTCGAGTTTTCTCCTTCCCATCTCCCCTACACGTACTTTCTAATTAGTATTTCGTTCAAAACTGTCAAGTATTAAGTCATACAAACAAAAGAAGCAATGTTGCTCATGCAACTAGGATTGAAGGAACATTATAATGTTGTTATTATCAGTGAGTGAATTATTAAAGGACTTTATTGAGGTTTTTAATTTAGTTTACTTTAATTCATAATGATTTTGGTCCATAAGAGAACTAAAAATCTTAGCTTTTTCCAAAAATTAAAAAAAAATTGTTTATTATTACACGAAAATATTTTTAGGGCAATGTGAAAAATACTTTTAGTCACGTGATAATGTTGTTTTTCAAGTCGCCCTTATGGTTCTGTTCTAAATTTTTAAACATATATGTGACACTTTTTTTAACACATTTTTATTCACTTTTCATTTTATATTATAAAAGGAAAATTNAAAAAAAAAATTGTTTATTATTACACGAAAATATTTTTAGGGCAATGTGAAAAATACTTTTAGTCACATGATAATGTTGTTTTTCAAGTCGCCCTTATGGTTCCGTTCTAAATTTTTAAACATATATGTGACACTTTTTTTAACACATTTTTATTCACTTTTCATTTTATATTATAAAAGGAAAATTTTTTGTTTTTTATATAACAAGGAGCGTTGTATTAATTTTTATCACTATCCATATCAGTTGCAAAAGAATTAAAAAATGAAAAATATTAAATTAGCTACTCGAACTGTCTTTTTTATTAATTTGTTTAATGTTGGAAGATCCACTAGTAAACTACATTTTACAAATCAACTGCTATACATTTTATTCCCTTTTTAAAATCCCTGCGTTTCAAAATAGGCATGAACTCGAGTGCGTTCAATTCTAATTATACTTAATCGTCTAATTATCTAATGTAATCTTTCCATTTAGAACTGTGTGTTGTAATGTTCTTAACCGTCAGCACTACGTTAAATGTATACGTTTCCCCGTTTATTTACAACGACCTTGTAGGAATAATGGCCAGTGTTTTTCCTTCTATTTATTGCCTCTATGCGAAGAAATGAGTGAAATTTATGGTACACCCGAATATGTACGACATATAAATCGTCGATGTTGTACGGTAAATCGTTTTGATATAAAAACAATACATGTCGTCGTCGCCACCGCCGTATGTGGTTATCGTAGCCCAATCTTAATTTCCCAATAATAGTCCGAGTAATATACTTGAAATAATACAAGCAAATAACCGATGGAAACACAAGTCGACCGTGTAATTATTATTTTCCGGATATTTTTTAAGTAGCCGGGTCGTCAAAATATGTAATAAAAATCACTATTATTTTTCATAGGACTTTGATCGTTTAGAACACCGTTGATAATAATGTGTTTTATTATAGTTAAATAAATTATACTTGAACAGGTGTCGACAAATTTTTTTCTTTTGGTATAAACAAAAAAAACTTCCTGTGCACTCTTATGATACTAGTGTCGTTTTTTTTTTTTTAAATAAATCATTAACGTAATTTTCGCAAATGTATTAAAACGATATCGGTGTTATTTAGCCGTCGGTGACGCATTGGTAACACGCAGGAGCCGCGTGACGAGTAATATCAGTCAAAAAAGTCATCCTGAGCGATACTGGGCGGTGAGCGGGCGGGGATGAATTATGTGAGCAAAGCCCACGGTGGGCGTCGACCGCAGCCGCCCAGACCACGCCTGAGCCGCCGGTGACGTCACCGTCGTGGTCGGTCGGCCGCGGTCGGTGGCGCTACACGTTATCGTTGCCGCCGCCGTCGACGAGCGTGCCGACGCTGCTGTTGCCGCCGCCGCCGCCACCACCGTCGCGTTGTTGACACCCGTCAGTCAGTGATGGCCGTGCCCGTGTCCGTGGTTTTCGTGCTCTACGAGGGTTTCGTCTAACTCACTTGCTTCTGTTTATTTTTTTTTCTTTATAATTTTCTAGTTGTTTTTTTATTTTAACCGATCGCAGTTCGATACGTTCTAATTGTTATATTCTTACACGGAAAATATATTTAACATAACACTGCGACTGTTTAGAATTTTTTTTTGTTTTTGCGCGGACTCTGACTTGCCGTTTGCATATATTTTGCAGATTTAAAAAAAACACGATGACCAGTCAACGTGATTTTCCGTGATAAATTTGTATGTCAGTTAACTATAAGAAAATATTTCTACATTGTTGTTTTTGTATAGTTTAACGTGCGTCTTGTGCGTTTACCGTTAAAACACGCCGGAAGCGGACAGACCTTAGACAACATGACCCGGAGGAAGCAACATTGCCCCAAAAGAATGAAATGTGAGTTTTTTTAATAAAATAAAATTTTTACATGCTTAAAAATAAAAAGCTGTCAGGGTCTCCTCTTCCTATGAGTTTTTTTTAGTATTTATAATGTTAGCGGAGGACATTAGTCTGCCACCTCGTAATTGTTACACTACATTTAAATTTTAAGTAGAGCTTTTCTGTTATTTAAATAAAATTTTTTATTGATTTATTGGTTTTTACCGTTTTTCAATTCGTTAGAATGAAATAGTATAATTTATCTTCCATTCGTTCGAGACGAACAAATATATTAAAAAAATTATGTCCCGTGTTTATTAGTATATCATAAATCATAGTATTTTTTAGATCACATTTTTAAACCATATGTTTGTCTAGGCGATTTAACGTACGAATTTCGTCTCGCAGGTGCGAAAAATGTATTGCCGCGATAATTCAATTCATATCGCCGTTTTCTATCCTAAAAAACACTAATAGTCATGTAATATCGTACAGGAATCACACGCATGTATTCCGAGTGCTGTAGATCCAAAAAATTAATTCAATCCGTTACGCGTATTGGACACGTGATCCGCAGTTACGACTGTTGGGTGTCTTTTACCGAATGTAGTCACCTGTTACATATTTGCCCGGTCTGCGTTACATTGTTTAGCGTCTTGTCTGTTTCCCTGTTGGGGGTGAAAGCCTTGGAAATAAATGTCGTTTACCGGTAAGAAAAAAAATCATTTGAAGCGGAATAATAAAACGCGTAGGATCTGCACTGGCCGCCTCGGTGCAGGTTAAACGCGATGACTTGCAAGGGAGACACTCGCATAATATGGTCCACAGTCGTTATTAATGACCTTTGCCCGTCGAATCAACATCACCTATACGGTAGAAATCAACGCATTTCGGCGTCTTTTGATCTGTTTCATATACTGACTTAAAATATATAACAACACCTAATGGTCGCCTTTTACTCTTGGGAATCTGTTTTTTTGTTAAAATCGTCGTCACCTAATAGTCTTGCGCTTTTTTCGAATCTATTAATAAGTTTTAGTGACTACCATATAAATAATTTCGGTGGTTTCTAGACCTGTTGATGGTATAGGCGGCAGTGCTTTGTCGGCGTGTTTTGCCGGCTGCGAAGGCCTGTAGTCGGCGTGTTTTGCCGGCTGCGAAGGCCTGTAGTCGGCGTGTGGTGAGCGGTGTGCAGGGAAAAATCGCCGAGCGAGGGAGTCGTTGCCGCCGCCGCATCCTTGTCACTGATAAATGAAACGGGCGCACGCCGCCGTTGGCGCAATGTGTGTGTGTATACATATAATCGACGAGTGGCATGATTATCATAGCTTTTTGGACGCCCTAATCAACAAGTGTAAATCGTTTTTGGTAGTTTTATTTGGCATTTGGCTCCCGCCAAAAATGTCTGTTTGATTTTTACGGATAACTATTTGCCGGCGTTTTACGGCAAAACGATCACGTGATAAAACATTTTATTTTTTATTTTCGTACCATGACAAGAAACTGAGGCCAAAGGGAAAATTTTCTGAACGTTATTTTTACGATTATGCGTCTGCCAATAATCACATGACTCGTGATCTAATTTCTTTATTGATAAATTTATAAAATAATAATAAAAATTTTCACTTTTATTGTTTGTTTAAAAATTTGGCAGTTTCTCTCTTATAATGGCTTTCATTAAAAACGATGTAGTGAAAAAAAAATCAATACACTGTATTTTTCGTACATCTTGTCAATTATTATCAATTTTGTTGGGGGTTTACTAAATGAACGTCGTCTATGCGATACTACAATCGTGATTATAGTTTTGTCTATTATTGTTGTCAAGAATAAGTCTAACGATGGATGGTGTGTTATTGGTGCCCGTTTGTAGGGTATGCCGTTTCATCGTCATCGAGATGACAACGAGAGAGACGGAACGGTAGAGATGTGTTTATGACAGTTTAGACAAAAAGCAACGTCGACGTTGATTGACAGCGATTTATATAAAATAAGAAAGCGCCACCACTCGCTCTGTACATAAACTCGGTTGATGGTGCAGTTCGTCGTGGGTATAGTCGTAGCTCGCGCCCGGTTTTCCTCCTCTACTATTTGATTGATGTGCGCTTTACCTTTATGTACACGTGTGCGTGTGTGTGAGTATACCTGTAACACATACACACAAAGATTAGATAACTGAGACAGACATACAACAGATAGTCCGGAGTGCACTATTGTAGAGAGAGTGTCACACGCGGGGACGTCTCTTTTTAGAGACGTGTAATGATTTTGACATGTCTATACAAGGAAGGGGACGCGCCGGCGTTTGTGAGCTCCCCTCGGTACAACTTCACTGCGCTCTCATCCCACTGATCACGAAACAAATGACGATTAGATGAGTTTACATTTATTTAAACATACCTAGCCTTTTTACAATTTTACTTTTAAATAACATTGTTGAGAATACTAATTTTTTAAACCTAAATGTAACATGCACCTTTATATAACATTATGATCAGTCATAGAAGTATAATAAAAATTGGTCACTTGTGGCTAATTATTTAAAAATAAAATTATAAAAAAAAATATATTAATTTAAAACTAAAAAGTATCTAACTCGAAAATTTGTTTAGTTTTTATATAAATTAATATTTTTAATATAAATTTAATTTTGAAGTCATAGAAGTGCGGACAACATCTACTAGAGTTATAATTGTTATTATTATAGGATTATTTTTAAATATACTGTCTATGATATTGGATTAAAAATAAAAAATATTATTAGTGTCGTTGACGGATTTCCAATGTAAAAATGTCCGCACATAAGCAAGTGTTGCTTAAGAGTGTGTACATCTAAAGGTAATTTGTGTCAATCATAAATATATTTATTTTTGTCAAAATAATAAATTACATTGATTTAAGATTTTTCGGGTGATTACTGATAAACATATTAAAGATAGTTCAATATCATTCGATCTTGTATTCCAACTTGTACGTGCATTTTCACAATTAATTAATCATTTTTGATTATGGTATTTCCTATAAATTCTAACACCACGGTAAGAAACGAAAGTAACATCAATAGTAATTATTTTAATAGCGAGTATAAATAATCACGTATTAGTCGATTATCAATTATTTCATGTGCATTTCATACGATTATTGTCATTAAATTTTCTCGAAAGCATAGAAGTATATTCCTACGGAATTTTTTTAATTTTGTTGATCCATAATAATAATCTATTTGCGTTTGATTCTATTCAATAAGTTTTAAGGCACTTTCGGATCGGTTTACCGTTGGGATTTTTGGTCAACACCACCAGCGAATCCTCTTTGTCGCTTCAGTAGCAAGACCGGAGGGATGGTGGCGACGATTTGCCAGTGTGCGGCATTCCATTCACTACTGCGGCGGGCGTACTACGGCCGTATATCCTCCTCTGCTGCTCTCTTCCTCTCTATTTTCATTCACGTGATAGTTTCATTCAAAAATGTTCGCCCCCTCGAGTCGACTAATGTACATGTACTCATATCGATGGATAAATGTGTACTCGTGTTTTCGGGTGTGTTTGTATTTTATCATGTACACGAACTGTGTTGGTGACCCGAACAAGTGCACTTAAGTACGAGTAGCGGAGTAATGTCTAATTTAATGGCGAACAAGAATTAAAAAGTGTCTATTAATAGTATTTTTACTGCGTGCCTTGTGATTAAATTATATTACTGAATCAATGTTTATATTCTTCAAGTACTGGAGTGTAATTATTTTTGGCGACATTACGATCTAACTTTCTATTTAATTGAATGATATCCTTTCAATGTGATTAAAATAACTCAACCTATGCCTTTCCATCCGAAAATTGGTTATTAATTAATTTTATTTTAAGAGAAGAGAGGTAAAAATAGTACTATTGGCTTTACTGAAGTCACAAAAGTTATAGCAGGCTTACTCGAATAATAAAAAAAATTTGATATTTATACAATTTATAGTGTCGCTCAAATATTTGTTAGTCGTAATTTTATAACAATTTACTGACGTTGAATTTTGACACAGCGCTGCACCGAGTACGTTACCACTCCAACTGTGTTTTTAATAATAATATATGTGTGACTCATATAACCGACTGTGTGTAGCGAACCGAACAAAAATTATTATCATTGGACTTAAAAGAAAAAAGAAATGTTTGGGGAAGACACGTTTTCCTGCATGTGTGTATATTTGCTTGCCACATCAATTCTCGGGTGACTTCTATAAATCATTCACACATTACACGAAAAAACCCGTATTGCAAAAGGACAAAAAGTAATAATTTATGTACATGAAAAAATCTGTACATTATGTCATATTTTCCGTAACTATAATTTTCTAGTTATTTTGTGGTTATCTGTACATCCAAGTATTTAAAAAATTATTTCTCTTACTTTTATTTTTGTTCAAGTGCTCTAAAAATAATTGTGATGATAATCGATTAACTGTTCGGTTGGTTGTATTTTTTTTTTTTAAATATTAAATGATTCGCCCAAATGTTTCTCATTCGCAGGTGTTAAAAATCTAACGGCCAAATACGTTAATCAAACAACGTATAACATCATATTGATAACGTTAATAAAATATATCACACACCGAACTGGTAATAAATTTTTTGAGTGCTCGATTTTTATGAAGGTGAGGGTTTTTTTCGTGTATCGCCTGTTCGTTTTGACGGTGACAGATGTTTGTCCCTGAAAGCAGATCCATTATATAAATAATAATGTGATCTGCGGTATGTACCCAGTCCTATACGTTCATCATTGTAATAATGAACGGTTAGACAAAGGATGTGAAAAAAATTAGAAAAACAAGGCAAATTTTACTTTTTGAATTTAACAGCACAAAGAACCGCTCAAATTATGTTTCTCAGCCCATTAATTTAATAGTTCCTCGTAGTGTACCAAAATTACTATGTGCACGGTTGTCTTGGCTTATTATGACTTAGCAGTCTGATGCTATCGATGGATGTGTAATAATTTTGTCAGTTTAAAATTACTTAGTGTTAGGCGGA